ACTGGGCGGCGGTGATTCCACTGTTGCTGTTCTACCGCCGTATTGCAGAAGCTGCTCGTCTTTGTGCTTGTTTGACGTCTGAAGGGCTTTGTTTTCATCTTCCAGTCGTTTAGTTCGCAGCTGAAGTTCCTCTCTTTCCCTCTTCAAGTCGGAATTTTCCAAGTTGACCTTTCGTAAATGCTCATGCAGTTTGAAAGTCTCCCGCTGCGTGACCTTTTCATTGTCCTCTTCCATCTTCTTAATGTGTCTGGCCAGCTCAGTCGTTTCATTTTCGAGTTGCTGATACTGTCCCGCGGCTGATCTCAACTGATCCTTGATCACGATCAACTCGTCATCCTTTGCTAATGCTGTGGTGGTCATCTCGACGAGGTCAGTGTTCAGCTTTGCAGTTTCCTGACTCTTTTGAGCGACCTGTTGTTGCCACTCTTTGTCCTTTAGCTCCAATATTGTAATCATTGTGTCCAGTCGCCGTGCTTCCTTCTGCCATTTGAGTCCTTCCTTAGTGACCTTTTCAATGTCTTCCTTGACCTTTTCGTTCTCCTGGTTGACCTTTGTGATTTCTTCTTTCATGCGTTCTCCTTCAGTAGCTGTAATGTCTTTTGCCTCTCGCATCGCCTTGATTGCCTCATTGCGCGACTTTTCAGCTTCGTCAGCCCGTTCCTGATGACCTTTCGACTCCTTCTGTAGGGTACCGATAGCTTTGTCTCGTAGCTCAAGGTCGTTCCTGAGCTTAAATGTTTCGGCTGCTAATGTTGTCAGTCGCTTCGTGACCTCTGCGAAGTTGGTAGCATATTCATCTCGTTTAGATTCTGCTTCAGTGACCTTTTGTTTCAGGGAGTCGCATTCGTCCTTCAATTTTGCCAAGTGCCGTGACCTTTCCGCTGTTTCCTCGGACATACTCTCGTTAAGGTCACTGACTGCAAGATGACCTTCCATTTCTCTGTCATCTACCATTTTCAGGTACTCCTCAGCGAGTTCTTTTTGGCGCTCGTATTTGATCTTCCATTCGTCCGCCGTGTTCTCCAAATAAGCCTGTTGTTGCTCCAATTCATAAATACGAGCATTGAGGGATCCCATCTGGTTTTGGTATTCCTGTCTCTTTTTCATCACCTGACCTTCCTTCACTTCGAGTTCTTCTTCCAATTCCTTTACACGTCTTTTCAGGGTTGACGTTGGACTGTTCGGTGATGGCGGTCGTACATTGATGACCTTTCCAGTTTGTGTCCGTTCAATGAGGTGCTCTGGTATGTCCTTGAATCGTGTCATACCTTCAGCGCGGTCAGCTTCCCTCATCGCAGTTTGAAAGGACATATTCATCGTCGCTTCGTCATCCGTGAAGTATGATTCGTTTGACTCATCTGAGACCATTGGAGTTGCCCAAAGGTCATCGCCTGCGGTTTTATCGTTCAGTGAAAGGTCGTCCAATCCCAGTTCAGCCAGTTCCTCTTCGGTGACCTTTGTGTTTCTCTCCTCCACTTGAGTCAGGTTCACATTTTTATCCTGCTCATTCGTTCCGCTAATGGTAACATCCAGCTGTGATGCTCCAATTGGGTCCGCTCCTCTTTCTGTGGCTTTTTCCTCCCCAGTGACCTTTGTCTGGTTCATCGGTTCACTTCCCGCCGTAGACGCGGGAGTGTGCTTCTGGTCGTCGCTGGAACTTTCCTGATTGGCGACCGCCTCGAGCGCCTTCTGATAAGTGCTATCAGACCCTCGTGAATCCTTCTTCTCGAATGCCTTGGGCGCTCGAGTGTTCCGCTCATGTCCAACTGGACGTGAGTACGGGTACGGATTCTTTTTGTACGGGTTTGGTGCGCTTTGCTGTGAGCTGCGGGAGCTTTTGCTTCACTGACTGCTGTTGGATGTCGGTTCCTCTTGGTCTTTGTCCATGTTGATCGGATAACTTGGACGCTCCTGCCAATTGTTCTCACACACACGTTATTGTATGGTTTATTCAATTTTCCTAAAGGTCACTCTGTACCTCCGAAATTTTTCTAAGTCCTTATTAAAGGTCACTCTTCGACTGAAAAGTTTCGACTAAGTCCCGTGTAAAGGTCACTTTTTCGATAAAAAGTTCGAGAGATTTGCCCTAAAAGGTCACTTTCGGACAAAACTTCAAAACAGCTTTTACAGTTCGAAGCACGTTAGCGAATGAAATCCTACAGCTACTGATATCGCTGTACCACTATTCAGTTCAATTTCAGTTCGATAAAGGTCACCGTTCGTCAGTTTCAGATCATAAAGGTCACTTAAATAGGTCAATTTGGTCAATTCCAACTTTTCAGTAAAGGTCACTTTTCAAAGTCAACGGTCACGTTCTGATCTCAAAGGTCACTTTCCGACTCGATTCAACTCAAAAGGTTACTTTCCAACTCAATTTCTGTTAAAAGGTCACTTTCCCGTTCAATTTCAAGTTAAAGGTCACTTTTAAGCTCAATTCGATCAAAGGTCACTTTTCCTTTGTCTCCACTCAAAAGGTCACTTTTCGTCTCAATTATCTTATCTCAAATCAAATTTCCCATTACAGCTAGAGTTCAGCGGAAAATCCCCATTCGGGTTGTTTACTTCTTTCTGATTGGTCCGCTAGCTCAAAATATTCAGTTCAAATTTCGGCCAATCACAGCTCAGATAACTGACCAATCGCGCTGAACCATTTAAATTTTATATTAGCCTGACGTCACGGTCAACGGCCAGACATGCGCGCCGCGTGCAAAACTCCGCCTACTTTTACGCTCAGCTCAGTACGGACCAATAGAAATTGTCAATTTTGCTAACTAGCCAATCCCGTAATTAATAACGGGTTTTCTACCTGTTTCCTCGTCCGTTCCACGGGAATCGATCCAGATGATCCAGATTCTTCTTCCACTGTCCGTTCCCGCGCTGCCGCCGGTTTTACCGTAACGGTTGTGCCGCACGCTTTTGGTCGGTTACTGTGCCGGCTGACTGCCGTAGCAACAGTAATAGTGCTCTACTCCAGTTTGGAGGAGTCTGATCTGTCTTTTCCGTGCGCCCCTTTCAGCGCTTCGCCTCCTGTGGCCCACGGCTTAGGATTCGCTGAATCCTTGCCGAGTAACGGTGACACCAGTGCAGGTCTTCGCTGAAGACTCCGCACCGAGGAACACCGCCGACTGAACTCTTGAACTCTTTCACAGCAGTGGAACAGCACAGGTCTTCGCTGAAGACACTGCACCGAAACCAAGGCTGGTAATCCCGTCCGATGAGGAACTTGCACCGCTTGTGGTGTTGCGCTTTGCTGTCGGATAGACCTGTGCCTTACTGGTCGGGTTTCACGTCAAATAACAGGCCAACTTTGCCTGACACAAATCAAATCAGAGAACCGCTGTCGGCTCTGCTACCATCTAATGCTAGATCCAGAATGGATCCAGGGACAGAGACTCAAACGGGATGAATCCTGTGGAGTGAGCAATACGATCTGGATTGCGAACTATGCGAAATCACAAAACGCCGCACCGTAAATTGCTGACTTTTTAATATTGAAAAGTCTGGAGAACAGAAAATCAATAATGATCGGCGCAGCTCGATCGTAAAGCGTGGAGCCCGTTCAACAGTGTGCAACACTGTGCAGCACGTGCTATGCCGCGCCCACTAACAAAACACAAGCCAATCAGAGGCGAGACACAACACAGACACGTAATCCAGTGGCGAGTAGCGTTGCGGACGTGAACGCTAGTGAACCCCCGCTCACAGCAGGTTATAGTCAAGTAACGGCGTCTTACGCTGCCAACTGGGCGATATGTTAATCTTAGTTAGTTTATACATAACCTTCTTCTGATATATTGTTCGACCATGGACCAGTACGAGAAAAACTCATGTATTACTGGTACTCCTTTTCGTAAAGTAATAATATCAGGGTTACGCAAGGATTGATAGAAGAGGAATGGTTCATAACGCGTTGAAGACATTTTTGTTTTTCTCATTTTTCACTCCCCCCGGGTTCGCATTAAGGGGGGGACCACTAAAGTATCATCATTTGACACGGTGGGAAGCTTAGTTCAGGGTGGACTCCAAAATCAGGAAGCCGGATACTGCTTGATAAAATGCAGTATTTCTGTTCTCCTGATACTGCGCTTTCAATAATTATTGCGCAGAGCGGATACTGCAGTCATTGCCCTGGCTGAAGTTCTTTAGAAAAAAATTAATCTTTACGCAAATTACCGACAACAAACAACGGCTGCGCTTTATACTCGTATTTCGGCGTGCTGTGCATGCGGTGTGCGTGGCAACAACCATTATGCTTAAGGTTGCACATGTGCCCGTACTTGTACATCAAGTTTTTCAATTTGGCGTTTAAGGTCAGACATTGTGCATTAAACGAATACTGTGAACATTTGTTTGGCGGAACTTATAAACAAACCGAAGAACGAGCATAATCAGTTCTTAGATCGCCCGTAACCAGTACCTCGTCATCCTATTAGAAGCAGTCGTTGAATATCGTAAATACTTACTCGTACAACCGATAATTTCTTTACGTTCAAGTCACAACATAGAGGGACGAGCTGAGACACCGAGGATAATTTTATTGTAATTCTATGACGAGACTCGATATGCTTTCAAAATAATATAAAGTGCTTAAAAGCACGCAAAGATGCAGATACAATACTAGTACCTTATATGACAAATGCTCAAGCACCCTGAAGTCTACAATGACTGCGATGGATATCGTGAAATAAAATTTTATTTTTCTCACGGTCTTAATAACGGAAAACGGCTGCGCAGAATTTCTGCAAAAGCTCTAAGCGCAGGGCCAACTGCAGAAAATTAATGCGAAACGTAGTACGCGAATTACAGTACTAAACAATACAACCAAGTATAGTTGCAACACCTTCTTGAACTGGAACAACGCACTTACCTATTTGAACCTCGATATTATTTTTCTCTCTTTTTCCAAAACAGTCTTGACTTCATCACGCTGCTTTTGTATTCTCTGGTAATAAACTTTGTTTGTTCGGTAATGCTACACTAGTACTCTTCTGGTAAACTGCTTTACTGAGCACCATTGTTATTCTCTCTAATAAGCGGAACAACCACATCAAGGTCAGTTTGAATCGTACAGGATTGTCGTTTGAGCCCATTCTTTTCAGGAAAATCACTACACAACAGCTTATTCTCAACAGAGTTCTGTCGGTGGTTTTTTCTTTGGAAGAACGCTGTAACTACATAAATGACCACAACTGCAAAGCAGACACCCGCTGCGAAGCGGTATGCCACTCTGGTACTGTCGAACTGTGCGATGACGAATCCACCAATTATGTAGCCTCCACCAATTCCTAAAAGTAAAGGGGGGGTATTTCTTCACCGGCAATCAAAACCCGTAAGCGGAAGACAGTCTGCAGTAACATTTTGTCAACTTACCGAATCCGGTTTGAATAATGCTCATGAGAGACTGGAAGGTCGCCAGGTAGTCAGGAACCAGTTTCCCCGCATAATCACACGCTACACTCCACATTAGGGCAGAGGACAGTGATGACAGCGCGCTTAACGGATAGATCATCCAGATATCGGTAATGAACGAATAGGCAGTAAAGCGTATGGCGTAGACAAAGACGGCGAGTGCCAACGTGTGCATATGTCCAAGCCGGTTGACAAAGAAAGCTGACTGACTTACGACTAGCATGCCGACAGTGCCGGACACGGCTGCATCGGCGCCGAGAACACTTTTGGGCAGGGCCGTAAAGAGTTTGTCCAGGTATAGATACAAATATCTGAAATACAGGATAACGATCCTAATCCATTAGGTACGTGCATTCTTTTTGGCAGTTAATTTTAAAGTTAATTTTCAATCGCACAGTTGTAAGTTTAATTTCAAATATAATTTTCTAACTTTGCAATGTTTTAGGTTTTTTTTATTTTCTTCAATAATGAGAAATGCAAGCTATTTTTAACGCAAAACAGGATGATAAATAAAACTTTCAAGAAGCAAAAAATTAAATTATTATCGCATAAAAAGCATGTGTAATGTCTGCACTGAATGACACTTTAAAAATAACTTTGGACTCATGGTCAGTTTGTGTGTAGGTGCATTATAAGACAGTGTTTACCCTTCCAAGTATCCAATACAAACACCTGTGCAGAAGATCATACCAAGAAACGCCCAGATTTCGTAGTTCTTCTCAACAACCACAATCGTCCAGACATTTCGCCATAACTGTTTTGCCGGTGGCTTTACCGCAATATCGGCCATCAATAACGCCCCAATTGCCAGCAACAACAGTACGCTATAAAATATGAAACCCGGGTAATAATGTTGATACCCATAATTCCAGCAGTGCTGCAAGGAATCGATGATTAATCCCGACACCACCGGAAATACCGCAATACTGCCTTGGATGAATGCACGATTAATCCCGAAATCACCATGATGTTGTTCGGTCGTGGTGGTTATGATGGTGTCCAACATCAAGAAGCAACCGGCCCCTATCCAGCCGGATACCAGATACAGAACGAAAACGATATAAAAGGTCATCGGCTGGGTGTCAGCAGTATCGGCGCTGGACACGCGACTAACATTCGAGAACAGATTGTTGGAGGTGTTGCTGATGTTGACTGAACTGTTGTCAGTTGTATCAATCGGAGGTTGCAGAGGGACTGCAGCAACGAAGATCCCAGTGAGAAGAACACATAAGGCTATGCTGAGGGCGAAGACGAGTTTGTATCGTCCAGTTTTATCGGCTAAACCGGTGATTAGTGGTCCAGATGTGATGCTGACCCAAAGACTCACGGAAATGATATAACCGATTTGTGTGTCAGTAATGCCGAGACTTCTCAAGTACAGATTGAAGAAAGGATTCAGCATGCAATTCCCTGCAACACTAATTTTTGTAAATGTATAAAAAAGCGAGATTAATGTGCAGGCTGTAAGGACTCCGTCATTTATACAAGTCATACGTACATTATTGCTTTTTGTATCTTGCCAGATAGCAATTCATTTCAATAAAAATGTTTAGTTATGTAATACTTACCTCCCCAAAATAACGTAATCAGTAATTTGATCGGCACAAGTTTCCGGTTGATATGGAACCGTCGTTGCGGTTTGCTGTCCGCGACGTCCATTTTGCAAAACGGTATGTCAAAATTTTGCAACTTCGTGGAATCACGGGAGAACTTCGTTACCACAATTTTAATAAAACCTCTCTTTGGTTTCCGCACCAAATTTACAGGGGAAAATCGCAAATTGGCTTAGAAGAAAAGGTAGGGTAGAATATCTGAGAACAGAATACCATAGAATAATTAACGGCAATACTAATACCGTATGTATAATCCGATACTTAAATTATAACACCGTTGCTCAGGATGCAGCCGCGAAGCAGTGATAACATCATAAGACAATGTGTCAAAAGATAATTTATTTGCTGAATTTTTGGTGTTTCGTTAGACGTGGGTCCGCATTTCATGTCCTTGGATTATTTTGTCAGGTAATAACAAAATGTGGCCAAATGGAACCACGAACACAAACTACAGTATATGTAGTTCAAACAGTAGTGGCTATCTCAGTTTTTCAACATAATCTTATCATCAATACGGGAAAACTGTAATTTGGTGTATTGTGATTGTCGCTGTTATTAGTGTTATAGCATAACAATGGCGGGCGCTTGGCTGAATACTGCTAAAGAGTATACATTGTTATCCACCTTTATGCGCAGCGAAAGAGGCGGTTGTTGATAAACTCTTTTGCAGTTGTGGTAGGGACGATAGCGTAGGTCTCACAAAAGATGCCGCGAAACTCGAAAGACGGTAAGTAATGTGCTACACATAATATCTGTACAAGACTACAAGTATATTGATTATTGTGCCTAATAGTGCGGTGCTGTCATAGGAATGATAGGTTATGACAGTTCATTCCAGCTTTATGCATTTATTATACTTTTATGCAATATCTTCAGACAGCCATGGAAGATCTAGACAGTACTCATCGCTACCAACGCTCTGTACACTGCTCGAACGCAGTACTTGCAGATTTCTATAATAGCAATTGTCTCCGTTTTATTGATAATTCACAAAGACCGAGAATTAAACTTATTGCCCGTCGTCGCCCGATACATGCTAATTCAAGTTAAAACCATAAAAATCATTGCTGTGTGAGCAACCAAAGAAGATTCACAACAAAAAAGACTCTGTGCTATCCTGATCAGAAAACGTGCCCGTTACAGATACCTCACTGTCTCGTCGAATGTACCAACGGTACTAATCCTATCCCGAACATAAGAAACATCAAAGCCATACAAAAATGTGCCTCTAAATCTACATCAAAGAAGCAATCATAAGCACCGCTTTTTGCTGAAACCAGTACATATACCGACTACCTATAGCAAACACAGGAAGGATCACTTAATCAGAGAGATCACGGGCCTGAACCAGACTTTTCTCCGACGGGCTGTCCGGAGGGAGTTCAGAACGACCAGCTCGGCGACGGGAGAAACACGTGGCTAGGAAGTACAGCAGTCCCACACCGAAACATGCCCCAGAGAAGACTTGGAAGGAGAAACGCGTGCCGTAGTGTCCAATCAGCAAACCGCTTAGCATATTCCCCAGACCAATTCCTACAAAAATGACAAGAGAATCCCGTCGGTCATGCCACAATTTCTTAAATTACGTATTGCTGTTACACTTAATTTTGTTTGACTAATATACATTTATACAACATTACAACAGATTATTTAGGATGGTAATTAATTGTAAGTAATGATAAAGGTTTTCTTCAGTATACTCTGTACCTAATCCAGAATGAATGCCACTGGCTAATCCTTGAAAGGTCGCTAAGTAATCGTGCGCCAACACTGCCATGTACATCTGGACGACTGTCCACATCAGCGCATTGGAAAAGCACTCCAGTGCTTCGATCGGCAGCACCCAGTATGGATCTGTGGTCAACGAGTATCCCAGGAAGCGAAAACCGTATGTAACCGTCGCTAAGGACAAAATATTCCGGTGTCCGAAATACCGCACAAACACTGACGCAAACGCCACAAAGGGAATCGCCGACACACCGGCTACGGTGTTAGTCAGACCGAGCAGCCACTTTGGAGCGTGGAGTTCCTTGTCCAAGAACAGAAACAAAAACCTAAAAATCAGCAGCGTTAGTTTGTGAATAGTTTGCTCAGCTGTTTTGCTGTACCCTTCCATGTAGCCGATGCACATGCCAATAAAGAAAATCACCAACAGAAATCCAATAATTTTGGGATCACGCTGCAACACCAGCGTGCCGAGACCCTTCCATACTTGCCGCTGAGGCGCTTTGACCTTTATGCGACTGAACAGTAAGATTACCAGCGCCATCACTTGCATTCCGCCGAAAATATAGAACGCCACGGAGAAGTCGTTATATCCGTTCTGCTGGCTGAGATGATCGATCAGCAGACCGGACACGGGTGGCAGCGACATCATGGCCACCTGGATGTACATGCGGGTGAAGCCTAGATCACCCTTGTGGTCGACGGTCATCTGGATCATCGTGGTGTCCACCATGCAGAAACACACGTTCATCACGAAACCGGTCAGCAGACGGATGGCGAAGTACAGAGCAAAGGTCAGCGTCCGGTCGCCGGTCTGCATGGTGTACGGCCGACAGACAGTGAAATTCTCGGAGGAAAGACAGGTGTCGGAACATGAGGAGCTTTGGTTTAAAAGGGAGCAGAACAGTTCATCGGACCGCGATGGGATATCCTGAAAATTAATAAAAAAGCATACTGTTTTTATTTCTTTTCATTAATTCGTGTATGCAGTGGTACCAAAGCTTAATATCCAAAACACAAAATAGTTTACATACATGGCATATCGCATGCAACTTTGTAAGGTTGCGGATTATTTCTGCTGGAAAAGCATACATAGAATTTATTCTACTACTTCTAGTATAGTCTACGGCTTCCTAAGTTGTTGTTTTCATTAATTGGTTCCATTGTTTCCCTGATTTCGTTTTACGATTGTTACGCAAACAATACACTCTCAATGCCCATTGTTTTTGAAACAATATTATTGGCATAAAAGCCGCTCACAATGCCGCTTTCGGTAATCTGGTGTTATACAGTTACTGTCTTATTAAAATTGCATTAGTATCAGTCGATAATTAAAGGCACAGTTATCTGGTAAATCGTTTATGGTTACCGCAACTGCGATAATTCTGCGATAACTTTAATCGTCTGCTAATTAATTTCAATACTTAATACAGGGGTTCACATATACTTCTACTGATAAAGTGCGCATGTGTCGCTCATTGCAAGTCGAAATCCCCCTCGCAAAACGCCGGTCGCCGGCTGTAAACGACAATGTTAAGAACAAACTACTTGTACTATAATAAAAGCTTCAATAAATCAGTGTTAATGCACGGCACGTGTTAATGCACGGCAAATGTGATTCATGTATGGCTCAGACAAACGTACAAATAAAATTACTGTAAAGCAAACATGCTGACGACGCGTCGTGTTGACGGTTAATAGCACTTCTACATCGTGCAACCAGTTTTCCCTGATTTCCATTATACATGTTACGGTTGATTTGCAGACTGCAAGTACTCACATGAACCGCTTGCTCGGTGCACTGTCGCCAACAACTGTGAAACTGTTCGATGAGTGGACTGGTCTCGTTGCCGACAATCACACACATTGTGGCATTCCACAAGGAGACGTTTCTCCCACCACCACAGACCTCTGCCCATAAAATCGACGAATTCTGCATCACAAAATTGGGCTTCTCGTAGAGCGTTATCTCGGAATAACGCGGAACGGCCAGCAGTAACAGAATGTGGAGAACGATGGCAATGGTCAGACACGTCGCTAGTGTCTGCTTGTAGCGTCCAGTACGATCAGCCAGTGCACCAATCAGTGGTCCGCCAAACAGACTCGTCCACGCCAAGACGGAATTGATCGTCGTGATTTGTGCCAGCGTCAGTCCAATGGAGTCCATGTGCAGTGTCATGTAATTGCTCAGCGCGAAATTCCCTATCGACGACATCGTTATAGCGTACTACTGGATGCCTTAACCCAATTTTAAATTATCAAAACTGATTCTGCAAGTCTAGTGTAAGACTGCTTTCACGCTTTTTCTAATTCTAATTCTGAGAATGTTGAAAATTGTAGCCACTTACCTCCCCAGTAGAAAAACACCAAAGCTTTCGTAGTGAGAAGGTATTTGTTGATCTTCAGATGGTTCTTCGCTTTCCTGGCAAACCCACACATCTTTTCCGTACAACTGGTGGCCATGATTTTTCGGATGATGGAGCGTACTGTGCTGCACGCCTTCACTTTCATGCAGATAGATGTTAAAACATCAAAATATGCGAGTAAATATTGGGAAGCTGAAGTTGTTGAAAGTGATCCAAGAACCGTCAAAGTTCAAACAAAAAAGTCGCAATGATATCAGAATGACATCGGCAATCGGCATGTAAATGAAAATTGTTATCAGGCTAGCTATGCCTTTACTGCAAATCTGCAATCAATATGCAGCTTGGCTTATCTGCGACATGGCCCGCGCTGGTGCTGAATGCTGACTCACAATGCACCTGCCGGTAGAAACGGTAAACTGGCAGAGCATGAGCCATGAGACAACTCAGAAAAGCAGGAACCGCGATGATTCACACGTACTCTGTAATTTCATACTCGACTCGTGGAAGAGATGTTCATTAGCCTCACCGCGCCAATCGGAAAAAAAGGCTGCCGTCGCGCACTATTTTTAAATTAGATTCTCAAATGGTTACAGGTTTATTGTTACGATATACAGCTGTAATACTCGTATTTTAAGTTCTGAATTGCAGAAAATATTTCGCACCGGACATGCGTGGTACAAGGGGGTACCTAATTCCTACCGCACAGGTAAAACAAACTAAAGGTCACAGAGCTCTTGAAACGCTTAATGTGGAGCATATGTTCGCAGCAGCCGTTTTGCAAGGAAATTAACCGCCGCATGTTGCAGTTATTTGGAACTTGTGATCATGATATGAAATCCTACATCTGTAGGAAACAAAATGATGAAATACAAAACTGCAGCCTGTCTGTGCATCTTTTTGCTGGCCTCTGTTATAACACTCGCCTACACAAATAAGCTGTACAGTAACAGAGAGGTATTTCCTTTTTAACTGACGAGCTTCTTGAATGGAATGGTTTTTTTTCTTTGTGCTTGTAGCAGTCGAAAAGAATTTCGCGTTCAGACGTATCTATTCAAAATTATTCGCATTTTGTAGTTTTTCTGATGCGGGTTCATTGTCACTGTCCAGTGCTGAAGTAGTGACACAGTGACACTGCTTCCTGACCGCTTTGTCGCGCAGTGTCTAATCTGAAACTCCTGGTAACCGATGCAAAGCATAAATTTCGGGTGCGCGAATTGTTTCAAGTGTTTTAGATCGGAACAGTTTACTCTGGTCGCAGTTTTACTAATTCCACGATATCCACATCATATGTACGATATACAGTACAAGTACATCTTACTGTGATTGGCATTAATTTTGGCAGTGTATGTACTACGTAATGAGCGAGAAGGCTGCAGAAGTCCATCAATAATGAAAAGCTATCGATTCAGATAATTGAATGCGTAGTTACGCATTAAATAATCTAAGTCGATCACTTTCCGAATTTTACTGAGTAATAAATAATACTCAATAAAATTCCGTGTTTGCTGAAAAATGTTTTTGTATAGCATCATTTTCCGAACTTGCTAAATATTATAATAATGTTCAGTATAATTTCGAAAGTGGTCGACTTTGAATCGAAAATGATTCAATACGCAATATTCATCAGTTTCATTAATGAGCCGGAATGAATTTCCGGACACGGAGAGGACATTTTATTTTCTGTGTGTTTAATATTATTTAACCATTTTGATGTATGGTTATTATTGTACTGTACTATGATCTCTGAGTGTGTTATCTTTATGGCTGATCAGTACAGTAACGTACTTACGTCTGTTCCTGATCGTTTAGTCAGATTTCCGGGTACAGTTCTGGCTATTACTTGAATGTTACGTTTGCATATCCACTTTTAGCACACTGCAAATCTATGTATCTATGTACTTGTACTTATGGTTAGATGTTACTCGTATATCTATATAAGTAGTCGAAGAGGCCCCTGGTAAATTGGCAGTCCAGGGTGGTCTGGTAATGCAGCCTTGTGCTTAAATATTTCTGATCGAAAACGCTGTCGACAACGGTTTCTGCGGCTGAAAGTTCGAATTGCCTAAAACTTTAAAACAAATTTCGAATTCTCGTGTTTAATCATGAACCGCGCTGTGCACTTATTCTGCTTTACCGTCCTGTTTAGTTGTTACGGATTTCCGTTCCGTAAGTTCCTTCAAACCCTCTAGCTCGTTTGTGTTTTTTCGTGTAGTATTTAATATTTATACAGATTTCCGTTCATACGTATTGTCATCGTAGTTGAAGCCGCGCTGTTAGAATGTAAACAGTGTTCCAACTTCAAGGAATTCCTCAACGGAACATTAAATGGAGTCGCAACTGACGCCTGCTCCAACAAAACGTTGTGCATGGCGGAGACACATGTCTGTATGAAATTTTACGGGAAGGTGGGTGGATTTGTCGGGGGGAAATTTGTTGAACCCGGTAAGCTAAAACAAAATAAAAACATTTTTTTTTACAAAAATAGCCACAGTGTTTACAGCACTCATACTTTCATAAGTATTTGTAACAGAAAAAATATTTCGACATGTTTAGACTCTATAGCTAAACGTATGCTTCAAGTTGGTATTAAAAAAACTGTTAATAAAAGAAGTTGCAACTCGGTAGCGACATGTTATAATATTTTCGTCGAAGTGATTTGTATTAAGAAGACAATAACATTTTCTGACGAGTGCCGCCATTGTAGTGATTCAGTACGGATGCGCCAATCGTGAATTGCTGAACTATTTTGGACCCAGTGGCCAGCCGTACAAAGAAGCAGGTGCCTGCCAAAAGACTTCCGGCGTACGCCTTCCGCTGAACCCAGCGCAAGCCTCAGATCTGCAACTCAGATTTATTGGCACGTACTGCTACTGTCACACCGGACTGTGCAACAACTCGGCTGGAAAGATGTGGTTCAGCGGTGTTGCGGTGGTCGTAATGTGTGTGCTCGGTTACCTTGTGCAAATTACGCCATGGTGACAGTTTTCAGAGCACTATTAGCTTTGCTCATGACATGATATGCTCACAAACGAATGTCGGTGAAAGTTAGCAAAATGCTGAAGAGGTTAAATTTTGTTGTCTTTTCGTGCTTTATGCGTTAAAAACTTAAAATGAAAGTGGCGAAATAAGACACGCGGCCCGGCACTGTACCATGTCGTGCTGTATGTATCATGAGAGACAAGCACAGATATCGACTGCGGCAACTGTCTTGTTTGTGCTAAACCAACTGTCTTGTTTCTGCTATTGTTATCGGGGTATCGTCGAGGCGTCGACCGAGACTTTCCCACTACTGATCGCAACGAATTGTTTTCTTTCTTCCTAATTGGCCTTTGCCTCTTTACGATATACTTATACGCCAACGCCTACCTTACCTGTTCGTACTGTGCTCCGTTATTCAATTACGCTTTGAACTTTTTAATCTGGATTGATAATGATAGATGCCTATGCGTTGTCTTCCGTTTAGAGGAAACCATGCCCGTTGCGAGAAGGCGTTAAATCATTAAACTCGATTTAAGGCCTGCTCCTGTTAGCGAGCGTCTGTGGTGCTTTGATTTAGTTCCAACACTGCCTGTGCGTGTATTTGTATGCCGTGCAGTTTACCGAGCCGTTGATTCCATTCAACACTGCGTCAGGGTAGTTTAAAGGTCACCGGCAAATTTGTGCAGGAAATTAATGCTCATTGGCTTAAACTATAAACTATAAGGTAACGGGCAGGCACAACGAGTAACCATTTGAATTAAGCAAACCATTTTGATGCAGCCTTGTTGACTTGTTTATCTTTATCTGAGTTAAAACCAGATCGATAAGGCTGCAAAATTTATTGATGACACTTGTTAAGTACTTTTTAAAGAATATTGTTAAATAAGCACATTTAGCCATTTTTGCGCAACTCGTTTTTTTAATTTCAGGCTGGGGTCTGAGTAACTGCGGGAAGAGCTGCGCAGATTACCTGTTGGACCGCCATCGGTAGTTACGGAGTTTCTTTATTAATGTAGCCTTTCAGCCGCTGGGACTCCATCGAACTGTTACGTGGAAATCGATGACATGAAAGTAATCGGCGCGATTTTCGTTATAAGAGTACAACTTGTTAGTTACTCGGAAAGACGCACGCAAAATGGTTACTTACTTCTACTTTGTTTTGAACTTAAACACAGTGTAATCGTACACCAGTACAGTACCACACGACATTGTCGTGTTTTAATGACACGCGGCATTGATTTGTGCAGGTCTTTTGGGGATGTACATTTGCCGATGGCCTACCTATATAATATTATAAGCATGTGGAATACTAGACGGGATCTAAGAAGTAAAAATCCATTTTTATTTTTACATACTCTACCGGTTTACCGTACTGTTAAGAAAGCGCCGGGCATGGGAGATTTTCACAGAGAAAACGCAAAAGTAGAAGTTACTTAAACGACTTAACGTGAACAGTTTGTCCGCATTTAACAGGATTATCGATTAGGCGCTCCTGCTATTTGAGTCCATAAAGAGTATACAGAAGCACATCCGCAACTGTTTTATGAGACTGATGATCAACTTGGAACCTATTACCTATGGAATCGACATGATCGTACAGACTGCATTCAGTACCTCTGTCTGATCGGCATTGTGTAGGTGCCATCTTTGCCAACCTTATCTCTTCTCTTTCATTTTTTTTCTCATTTAACCGCTACATAACCCGGATATAGCTTACCGGACCTATGCCGATGCTGGATAATGGATATTACGATGCTGGATGCTCGTATTATTGTACTTGTACCTATCCCCGCCACCTCATATTCGCAATCCAGTAGCGAGACAATGCAATCCTACGCTATTGACCGCAGTAAAAGTGTTGTAAACTGCAGCAATCAGCTGAATTGCTAGAGTACCGGTACATATGGTAACAAGCTGCTACTAAAAACCATAAAAAACGGAGAATTGCCGCAAGCCTATTTTTTCATCATTGCTGTCTAGCTAAAGTGTATGTGTGGTTCGCGAATGACAAATAATACTTCCCAGGCTACAGGTACCTATATGGTGCGATATTAGCAACACGGGAGCACGCGCTAAAAAACCCCCTAATCTCACAGTAAAAAGCATATACTTTGCATTTACGTTTTCTTGCCTTTATCTGAAATATATTTTCCGGTTTCTGCCCTCCACGTTATTTGGATGGTTAAGTAGTCATGGACGGGATTCCGCATGTGTTTTGTGTCGTTTTCCTACTGTGTTGTTGTGGAATACCTCTACGTGAGTACCAGAACGAAACAATAGTGTAGTACACGTTAATCGGTACCAAGTACCAACAAGCAATTAAGTGACTGCGGTCGTAGTCGAAGCCTTGCAATGCAAGCAGTGCCCCAGCTTCAATGATTTTCTCAACGGGACCCTGCAAGGACCTAGCACGAATTGCTCTGGATCCAACGCCACCGCCGTATGCAACGCGGATACCCATTTCTGCATGAAAATCATTGGTAGTATTGGAGGATTTCCGGCCGGAAATAAACCGATTGACGGTAAATACGATAAATCGCAGACGTACCGTATTTTTTCAATTAGTTTACCTTACCCCGCGGATGAAAGTCCCTCATTTTTTAAATGTTTTTTAGACAGGTGAAGGGGTTTTTGAAAAATACATAAAATTACGTCCTAAAAGGGTTCAAAAAATGGCACCCGGTGTCACTAATTGTAATTGGTATAGTAAGTTGAAAGTAACGAGAAATGCTAGTAAAAAAGCGTTTGAAATCTTCCGTGAATTCTTGAAACCGATGTATACACCGAAGGGTTACGGCGATTTCTCGATTGTGTTATTATTTCTCGATGTTTCTCGAACTGCATTGCTCCGTTTTTGCATAGTCACGTGGTAAATTTTTAAATGCAAATAAAATCTCGCTTGTCTTAGATTCTGTCGCCACTATACACGGGTATACTTACTAACGGTTAGTAAGTTTACCCGTGTATAGTGGCGACAGAATCTAAGATTCGCACTTTATTGGTCAAATCATACTTGGGGACAAAGTAAAGAAAGAAACATGCAAAGATTGTATTTACGATTGTATTTACTTTTTATTTACTTTGTATTTATTTTGTATTTACTAACGATTGTATTTATTTTGCAGTACTGCAATACGGATGCGCCAGTCCAGATTTGTTGAGCTCTTTCACGCCTAATGTGTATGGTACGATAGGCCATGCCGGTAACTGCCAGCAGAAGTCCGATGTGCGTCTTCCTTCGAATCCGGCGTACGCCAATACGAATTTAACGTTTAGCGGCACCTACTGCTTCTGCCATACCGGACTATGCAACAATATTGCTGGCAAAACGTCGTACAATGTCTTAATGGTAGCCATCGCGTTTGTGCTGGGTTATTTTATGCACTATGCAATGGAAACGGTTTATACAGAAATATTTTCTTAAATTCTCGCAAAAAAGTACTCTGTTACGGCATAACGTGAGCTCAGCTGAATTGACAAACTGAAGAAAATACAGCTAACTGAACAATCTGCTAATTGTTCACTTAATTAACTTACTTATAATTTGTACAACCCTAACGCTAGAGGAAGTATCACATCGTGACTATCGTCTGTGTAACGCCAGGTAAACAAGTGTAAGTATTTATTTTTTATAACAGTTTATGTGACAACGTGCCGTTTAATTGTCTGCAAAGAAACTGGTTGTGTAGGCTTAACAGATCTTATAGTGGTTCACTGTGGTTGGTACTTAACACTTGTGGATCGCCGTATCGTCACACTTATATGATCTCATACATAGCCGGCGGGCTAATGTTTACTTGCTGTTTGATTTGGATCGTTAAATTCTTCACATAGCCTACCTACCATTTCACACACATGTTTTTTTCTTGTGCCATAATTTATTCAGTGTGCGTTTGGTACAAAACTGATTGTTTTGTTCGGATAGCAGTGATCAGTATTTATCTCATCATTTGCTGCGCATGGTTATATTAGTAGAAATATGGTGCGTTGAAGTTGCATATCATGGCAATGTTGGTGCTATCATTTTCCATGATCGTGTTATTCGGGATTATAGATGGTACGTTTATACTAAAGATGCCTCAATATTAATTAAATCGGTCATGCATCGGATTGTGTATAAAAGAAAAATAATAATTTTGCAGATTCTCTGGGACTGAGTTGTATGCAGTGTAAAAACTTTGACACTTTCCTTATATCGCCGCAACTCAATCTGCAAGACTGTACGAATGCCTCCAACTCCCTGCAGGTGGACTGCGGAGATGGGCAGTTCTGTGTTAAGCTGTCAGGAGCGATTTACGGCAGCACGACGGCGTTTCCGCAACCAAACACTCTTGATGGTGAGTCACTCGTTGCGAAGACTACGATGATCGATAGACCTATTATTTTGAATTATTACACACCCATGATGCAGCAGGAATTACAATAGCAGATAAACCGTATATAGATCCATTATCTATTGCTAAAAATTATGAACATTTACCGAGCTACCATTCATAGATTCGTTTGTGATCATTTACCAAAGATTACTTATATTTGCTGTTTTATATGTGATATATATATAGGTAATTTGTTTATAAATCACTTAAACATAACGTATTACTGATTTTTGCTTTTTTTAGGTTTTGGTATGCCTGCTAATTTGTTAATATTAATTGTAATGATAATTTTTTATGGCCAGAACGTACATTGTTCAGTATCAAGAACTTATTTTAAGCCTATTTTGAGTGTTGATTTAAAATCAACATTAATACGTAGTTGAATACGTTTGCCAATATTGTCGTACATAAAATGCATTTTATATGTATCACTGTCCGTCAAAATCGCAGTACTATATAGACTCCGAATTGTAACTAGTGCCTTAATAAGTGCTTGCATAATTGCATTTTATTAAAGCACTACAAAATGTTTAGGATGTAGAATCCTTTATCGTTACTTACGTAAAATCGTCTCGACGTCGCAGGTATTCAGCGCGGCTGTGCTAACGAGCAGATGATTAAGTATCTCAAACCGGATGGGGCGGCATACGGCGCCGGTGGTAGTTGCCAAACCGGTGACCGCTACATTCCCACACCGTATCAGTCCCTCTTCCAGAGCAATCTTAGACCGACATACAAGTTCAGCGGAACGTTCTGTTTCTGCCGCACAGCAAACTGCAATTCCGCCGGTCTATCCACCGGAAGTTTCCTAACACTATTTGGTTCCCTGCTTTTGAGTATTGTTGTTGTATTATTACAATAAAATTGTAATACATATTGTATTATTGTTTGAGGTTTGTTCGGAAACGACGGTACAATGCATCAGAAATTTTATGTACGGTAGTACATTCTGCGTTTATTTACTTTATTGTATAATTTATACTCGCACTTACTAACTTTCACATATAGAGCATACATTTATATAAACTTTTATTATAATATTACATCTACATACGAGTATTTGCATATGGACTGTATGCCTACTTGTACTTAACTATAAACATTTTGTCCCCGAAAAATTCTTTACAAAAAGGAATGTCAAAGAAGGTCTGCACTCTATCCAGCAGTCTGTTCTAGGTACATGTACTACTGGTAGCTCTTGATCGATTAGTGCAATAACAGTTCAATACTCCTTTTTTCCCACCGATTAACTCTTTCAATACATGTGCACTATTGCAGCTGCAATTAAAAATGCACAGAAATGAATGGCGAAGGAAATACAATAAATTTCCTAAAATGTGTTTAGCTCTCACTGTGGCTCAGAAGGATTTACACATAATGTTCAACTTGTGAATTCTTAACCACGATTATATTCTTACAATATTTAATGTGGGTTCAGTGCCGGTAGGTGTGGGTGTTGTAATCTGTTCATAACCGCAAGCCGGTTTCCCATTACTTCTAACCGGTGTAATTACCTTGTTGTAACGAAATTTTTTCATCCGCGGTCGATTGTTATGCCATTTGATTGCCACTTGGAAGCTATTACGAATATCAATGCTTAACTTGCAGCTTATCAATCTAAAAAATTTTCATTATCGTCAAAGTGTCGTCATACTGGAAAAGTTCGTAAGCTGCCCAACATTTCAATTAGAGATTAAAAATGCAAAGCAGTTTTTTTGCTGCATGCATAATCGGTGTGTACTGTACACATTTGCAAGAAAAGCAAATTATCAGTGATCATTAATCAACGCTCTACGCAGGTTTAAAAAATTATCTGACAGCATTTGCACATAATGTAGCAAGTTTTTTTACAACAAAAAATCCATGACGTGGTAGACAGCAATACCGACTTTTCGGTCGAGCCCGGCACGGACTGCGGCGTTAGCGAATTCCTCCATTTTCACATAATGACTGATACCGAGATACGACAATGTTTTATCGATTTCTTTCAAAACTTTTACAGCTTGTTTGCCGGTAACAGATTCCCCGACTGTGATATCTCCGAATTTTTCAGCGATTTTAATCGCTTTACGGATGACTTTTATTTGGAAAGCTGCCTCCTGAAAAGAAACGTACAATTTGCAGCATATAGGATGCGCAACACCAGTCGTAAAAAGAGAATATATTTTATATACTTGTACCTTTCCTCCGTACAAATAAGCGCCTGCAGTTACTTCCATTATACCATTTTTTGCTACAAAATATAGTTTTCCTACGTACCGTGGTTTCGACATAAAAATGCAGCAAGAAGCATAAGGCGAGAAGTTTGGTCCAGTGTTCAATCATTTTATTCGCGCTTACTTGACAATATCACAAAAAACACTGCCTGTTATTAAAACTCTTCTACCAATACCGACAATCTCTGTATGGTAAAAAAGCATTGTTTTTTGTCCTTTTATATGAGTGTCAGTATACAGTAACGATTATATGCATAGCTCAGGGAAAGGTAATATGAACGAGAAGTTGCGTGGCCGCATATACAGCCGGTCAAGTGCTACCACGAAAAAGACGTTAATTCCGTCAAAAAACCGGGGAAATCCTTTTTCGATCCGCGAAAATAAAAAACCACAACAGTTTGTTTCCACATAGCCGCGGAGAATTATGCCGCCCATATCCGGCAATAAAACTGCAGACTTCAGGAACAAAAAAGTGTTCTTTTTTGTGCGGTTTATACACGATGTGTGAACGTGCTGCTGTAATGTGGATAAGATATAGCAATCCCTCAATTCGGCTGTAAAATAATTTTCCATAAATCTTAGCAATAATAAACTACTGCAGCTGCGTCCACATTCCCTTGGCACACTGTACAATGTCTCATGACAATTTTTCCACTGTATTGTAGTTATTACGAGTAACTGCAACCCTCTGCCTGACAATAACGAGTAGAATTCGAAGGTAGTTTTCATATAAAATAACCAATGCATATCGATACTATTTTTTATGATGATATCCAGGTCGGGGTGTTGACCGATATTAATTATAAAGCGAAAATAATGGCACAGAAATCGAAAATCATGATTACTTAAAATGTTTTAATTTAAAACGCATGAAGTGCTAAAATAAACGGATATGGGTGCAAAGTGAAATCACGTATTATATCCAAGCTAAGTACAATATAAACGCTCGATAATCACATACTTTACATGTATGTATACATACATAATATAACTACATACAATAATATGTATGTATAATAATATGTATAATACAATAATATTAACGCGCTATGCGTAGTTTGCGCGTATTACGTACGTGTTATGACGTACGTGTTGTCTGTTCCGTTACGTACGACGTGCTGTTCTTATCTAACGCATTTGGATCGCTAATTGCATCCACGATTCTGGTTTAACTAATCAGTCTGAAGTTTCTAACTTCTATTAAATCTGTGAGCTTGTTTCTAGCTGAAAGGTCGTGTGACTCTAGGTTAGAAGGAAGTTCATATCTCGTTCTGTTCTGTTCTGTTTGTTCGTTCGTTCAGTTTGGTGATTAAAATTTGGGAAGTTCCTGAGTGTTTGGGTTTCGGTAACTTTCGTTAGGCACAGCAATCCGCTCGTACCTAGCGGAAGTAGGCAGTAGTACCACTTACGGAGTCCAGAGCATATTCCCACTCTACCGACTGAGTAGGTTTGGTCATCTAGTGCGGTTGTCGCGGTGCGACTTCCGCATAGCATGTCATGGCGCCCAACGGATTTTAACAACCCCTGGGAATCTGGATCGTCTGGTAAGTGGTATTGGTTTTTGGCGTTTTGTGTGGTTGTGTTGGTTGACCACGTGGATTCTCAGAGAATCCCGTGAGGCAAGGTTCCTAAGTGAGAACCAGGTGCTAGACCGCAGTGTGTACCGCAGTGACCTTAGAGGGTTGCGCGAGGCACGGTTCCTAAGTGCGAGCCAGGTGCTGGACGGGAGTCCGTATACTGTACTCGTACTGGTAAATAGTACTGACTGTACTGCGAAGTGGTGGCGTAAGCCCTGTTATTCGTGTAGCAGACTTACATCCGGGTTCGGTGACCTGGATTACTTGTCTGTTGTTTGTCAAGCAGGTGCAATGGATGGTACAGTGATTGAACCATCAGCATTAACCGCTGGACAGGAGGACGGTGTAGAAGAGCCGTCAACTGGCAAAAGTAAACCGTCCCGTCGAAAAGGGATGATAAATGTTGATGAGTTTGAAGCCATGTTAAAGAAGGCGGATTATTTATCCCCGCCTACAGTGCAGTGGTTTCTACCGGAAGACGAAAATGTTGGTGAATTTTGTAAGAAGTGGGAAATTGTTCTCCCACGTACTGGAGAATTAAGTCAAGAATGGGTTGAATATGACCTTAATGGTGGTAAAAAACCAGGAGGTTATGATCAGTGGATTCAGGCAGGAAGGAAGATTCCCGCCCGTAGAACGGTCCATCTGACCCTTCATGATTACGATCAGCAGTATGGCACTGAATTGCATGAAAAATGGATGCAGTATCTTGCCAACAAAAAGCCTGTTCAGTCTGCAGCAGATAGCAGTAAAGCTCATCCAGGTTCGGATATGCACCAAAGCGGCGGTCTGCAAGCTGCAGTCAGTGAGGGCAATGCACTGTCTGCCAGTGGCTTGAGTGGTACTGCAAAGGATACCGTGGTAATTCAACACTTGGACCTGACAGAAATGAATAAGGTTTTGGAGCAAATTAATAATGCTCCAGATTATTCAGCTGTTGTTACTGGAGATAATGAAGATAGCGATACGGAAATGGCTGCTATTGATCAGCATCATAAGGGCGCTGATTTGCATTACAGTCAGAAGCTTGGCAGCGAAAGCAATGAGTCATCAACCGCTGCCGTGGTTGATCAGTTACGTAAAGAGTTGGATGCAGAAAGGGTGCAATATTATGCACTAGCTTTAAAGTATAACGATTTGGTCGAAAAATACGATGATAGTGTTGATCATCGAAAGAAGTTGACGGATGACGTAAAGTTGCTTACTGTTATGCGGACGCGAGACGCAAAGTTGATGCAGGACGCGTTCGAGCATGTAAACAAAGAAAGCGAGAAGCTTCAACTGGAGAGACAGAAATTCCAGCTGGAGAAGCAGCAGGCGCAAAAAAGTTTTCAACAAGGCACAGCTGCCTTGAATAAAAAGTATGCGAGTTTTTTGGCTGAGCAAACAGCATTTAATGTTGCTGTTGATAAGTGGAAAGTTGATCGGATTGATAGACGCCATTCAGTAAAAGATGACGATATCTTTTTTCCGCATGTTGAAGTTGATCGGCGCAGCGCAGTAGCACAGGATATGGCTGAACCTGTACGAAAGCTGTATAGCGCAGTTCATAAGCCTGTTTTCTTGGTTAAGGATACCCAGAAGCTTGAAGATTTTCTGGAAATGCGTGAGCGTGCTCACAATATGCAGGAATGTTTGGGTGAGTCGCGTAGTCCCTCACCAACGATTTCAGAAGTTAGCACAATTGCTTTGGCCAAGATGGAAGCTAAGGTTGCTGAACTTGATCGTCGTTTAAAGGAACAGGAAGCCAAGGGCGGTAGTACTGTTTCCGCACCATTTGATATGGATAAGTTTACTGATGCAATGAAAGGCGCATTCAGGACTGACACAATGTATCCTGAGAAGTTTGACGGGAAGACAGATACGAATAAGGTTGAGCAGTTTATCCAGAGTGTGGATAACTGTAAAAACCACAACAGTTGGTCGGACAGTGACGTCATCAGTAAGTGCCTGTCGCGCTGCCTTACTGGTACGGCGCTTACCTGGTACTTGGATAAGTACGATTCTAATAAGAAGTTGAAATGGTGTGAATGGAAGAAAATGATCCGGGAACATTTCTCGGATGAGAAGGATTTGATGGCTGTTCGTGATAAAATTGCTGATCGTCATTTTGGTAGTGACGATACACCGAACTCGTATGTGGATTGGTTCACTACGTCGTTCAAGAAGTTGGATTTGAATGAATCTGAACGTGTGTATTATCTGAAGCAGGGATTGAAAAAGAACCGTTTCTTTTGGTTCAAGTACATGGAGGAGAAAAGGGTGACAGATGTTGAAGAGTTTCTGTCTGAATTGAAGTTGCAGTATAAACTGCGTAATAGTAACCCTGGTTCTAGTTACTCTGAGTCGAAACAATTCAGTGGCAGGAAGCCAGCTGATGCAGATAGCAGTACAGTTAAAACTGCTAGTGGTGAGACGAAGAAGTCAGAAGGGAGTGCAGGTGATAATGGTAAACAGATAACCATTAATTACGCGAAGTGGTACTTTCCAGACGGGCAGGCGATATGTTTCAAATGCCACGGTGCGCATGTGAGTAAAAAGTGCGCAAATACTGCACCCCCGAAGCCTATCATGGCCGAACCCCCAGATCAGGTGATTAAAGCTTACATGATGAAGAAGTCGATGGGAAAGAATCCCGAAACTAACTGTTTGGGATCGTTCTTGATGCGAAGACCGGAAGTTAATTCTTTCACTGTGCAGGTTAAACATGCACAAGTTGTCGGAAAGGAAAAAACTTTCAGTGGGGGCGGAGCCGCCCAGTTACAGTATAGCTCGGCACGCCGTCCGACGGGGCACTCGCTTTGCAGTGGGGGTGCTCAGGCTCGTGTGGGTTGGCGTCGGAAGCAAAGTGGCAGTGCTTATGTGAAGCGCTTGAAGTATCTGATCGAGAATCCCGAGGCGGAGATGAGTCGGGATGAAAGAGAGAACATGGAAGGATTTCATGTTTATCATGGAATTGTGTACCGTAGCAAGGGCGGTAGGTACGGTAGACACCGAGTAGTCGTACCGGAAGCTAGCCGCCAGGACTTGTTACGAGACTGCCATGATAGTTATTATGCTGGTAATTTGCATGATTATTGGTCAGTCCCTAAGTATGTTTTGCGAAACTATTACTGGCCCGGGATGAATGCTGAACTGTGGAAAATCGAAGCACAGTGTGAGCATTGTTGTGCTCAGGTTTAAGTCCTGACTGCTATATTATGAGTCCGCTGTGTCATTGTCGGTGGTGTACTGACAGTGTAACTTGCTTCTACTCATAACCGCAGAATTTATCAGCAAAAAGGGGATGCTGATTGTTGAAATATCAGGAAGTTACAGAAACTGGTTGTGTGGGAAAAATAAGTACTTATCAATCGAGTACTGTGTTATGTGCCGTATCCGCCGGTGTGGTAGTTACGTGTACGAAAACGCTGTGCTGCGGTGCAGTGTTTGATTTCTGTAAAAATGATTTTAAAATCATTTTGATTCTGCAGTTGTCAGCAGTACAGTTACTGTTTGACTTTTTGTTTGGTAAAAAGTTCACAGTTGGGATTAGAGTCGATCATCCGAAAGTAATTTGGATGATAGAAAATGTGTTTATTTGATCATGGGCAAGAACCATGTTGTTTCGGTTCTTGTGATCTGGTTCTGATTGACTGTGTTTGGTTGTTCGACTGCAAGTGCAAACTTGCAGTGGGGGTAATTGCCAGTAATTAGTGGAAATTAAATATCCACTTTTTGATGCTTTGTAGATGCCGATGAATGAACGGTATTAATTATCCGTTCAGATCTGTGTTTTTGATTGATTGGCTGTGGCCCGCTTATCAGAATTCTTGCTGTTTCTGATGTATTTGGCCTGTTCGATTTTGGATTCTCGAGCTCTTCGGAGGGAGAGGATGGATGAAAACCTCACCTGGATACGAAACGTTTGGATGGATGGACGATGAAACTGGACGCGCGTGGTGGAACGAGGAACTTTGGAGGACTTGGACGGAACACCAACTTCATCAACTTGGACCTCCATTGGAACCCCCGTCACACCCCGGAGTCCACGCGCGAATGATGAAACGGATCCCCCAGGATTACGGTACTTTCCTGGATTTCGAGTTTTCTTTGATTTTGTTGTTTGTTTGTTTGCTTTGATTAACGCGGACGTTAATTCTGTAGCAGTGGGGGTAACGCGCTATGCGTAGTTTGCGCGTATTACGTACGTGTTATGACGTACGTGTTGTCTGTTCCGTTACGTACGACGTGCTGTTCTTATCTAACGCATTTGGATCGCTAATTGCATCCACGATTCTGGTTTAACTAATCAGTCTGAAGTTTCTAACTTCTATTAAATCTGTGAGCTTGTTTCTAGCTGAAAGGTCGTGTGACTCTAGGTTAGAAGGAAGTTCATATCTCGTTCTGTTCTGTTCTGTTTGTTCGTTCGTTCAGTTTGGTGATTAAACATTTGGGAAGTTCCTGAGTGTTTGGGTTTCGGTAACTTTCGTTAGGCACAGCAATCCGCTCGTACCTAGCGGAAGTAGGCAGTAGTACTTACGGAGTCCAGAGCATATTCCCACTCTACCGACTGAGTAGGTTTGGTCATCTAGTGCGGTTGTCGCGGTGCGACTTCCGCATAGCATGTCAATATGTATAATAATACATACAATAATATGTATAATACATACATACATACATACATATAACAGGTATATCTATATAGCTTACGATTAATAGCTGCATAATAGTGTATACACAGATCAATATCCAATACGTATTGGATATTGATCTGTGTATACACTATTTATGCAGCTATTAATCGTAAGCTATATACCTGTTTTTATTTATTGTTTTTATTGTGGTTACTGTTTTTCTAATTATGCCTGACTTCTAAAATTTTGACTTGCAATTGTTTAATGATCAACCCTTCATGAGCAAATTAATCAATTTGATTTCGTATAACACAGCACTCAACAGCAGTTTGTCTTACTCGTAAAGTATTTACGTATTTCTATCTAGGGAGGTTCTACTAGGTTCTACTAAGTTTGATTACTTTCCATTACTGAATTGTAAATTTGAGATTCGGCAAAAATTTAACTGCATGTACTCTGTAATCTGTATTCACACGGAATGCGAATTTCAAATTACAATATATTAATTTTTGCTTCCCGTTTAGCTAACATGACCTCAAATTGCAAAACTGCTTTTCTATAAATCTTGAAGATACATTTTTGTTGGAGATATATTTTTCAGTTTCACAGTTTTTAAATGTTCGAGTCTGGTAATGAAAATATTCGAGTTTTGACACTAACCATAAGAAACTTTTATACACTTCTAAGCGAAACATCTCTAGCCGCCATCCCTAGGTGAACGAACAGTCCGCTGGCACCGAATGGCACACGGTCGAGAAAATTGTTTTATTTCTCATTTCAGACATTTCTGGGCCTAAATTCTGGCGTTTTTATGTGGCTGGCGTTACGGAATGGAGTGATTGGTTTAAGCCCTCGCCCTCTATCCCACCGGACGCAAACTACGCACTACGGACTTAACTAGTGCTAACAAGAACCACTTTGGTACATTGCGCATTGTCAAGATATTGAGATTTTTCACTTCGCGAATGCATAAAAATGTACGGCAAATATATTTCTTTTATATTCAACTGATGGCGTACTAGGTGTTTAATATAAAGGTTTCGTAAAATGTTCGCCATAACTTTGCTCCTACTTGACTACAACGCCTCAGATTGTCTGCTACTGGGTTGGTTTGGCTCAAGCCATGTTTACCCAGTAAGCGCTATGGCCAAGTTCGCTGTTAATTGCCGCACTTTAGCCACGCCCGACCCTTTAGCCCCGCCCCAACGCGTTAAACCAATTACTCCATACGGACCTTGTAAAGTTATAATTATAATTTAACGGGATTTAGTTTTCAGTCATTTCACTTCATAGAGTTAACTTTTATCCTGAGTTTAATAACTTTTAAAATTTTATATTCTTGCAACTGGTTCATCCTTGGAGACTATAATTATTTGCGTACTGCATCCTAAAGAGTAAAGACCTGCTCACCTATCAGACCAGTATGCTTTGCCAGACCGATTTCACTGGAAAATCCTGAGCACGATTACTGTATGAGCAACTCTGCAACTGAGCACCAAAAATGGCTTTCTCCGAGATCCTCACGGTCCTCTGGGAGTCGACCGTCTTTGTTGGCAACCTCATCTTCCACTCCGTTGTCGCCCTCTCCGTCATCCTGCTCACCGTGGGCAAATTCCTCGTCAATCTCTGCCTGGTCTCCGCCGAATACATCATCGCTTCCCTCTGGGTGTTGGGACTCTTCCTGTACAACTGTCTTCCCTATATCGTAGACTTTGTGCAAAACTTTGCCGTCTTCCTCTACGAGGCGTGGATATATGCATGCAATACCCTCATGGACTTCGTTCTCTCGGTGTGGCAATCCCCCCTGTTGCATCACACGCGGGACGCGTTCATCTGGGGCCTGGAGGCGGGGGTGGGGGCTGTGTTGCAGCATCCCCTGGAATGCGGCCGAGTGGCGGCGGGGGTGGTGTTTATTTTTCTGGTCTTGAAGTACCGTCAGGATTTGGTTGGCGTGGTGCAGCAGGGAAGGCAGGCCTGCGTGAAGAAGGTGGAGACGGGACGGATGAGGGTGGCGGAGGGTGGACGCAGACTGAAGGACTGGGTGATGCGACCCTTCCGGGCGGTCGCCAGGATCCCTGCCAAAACGTCAGCTGCTGCAGGTGCGTGCGCAGGTGTTTTTTGTACAAATTTCGAATTTAATCGATATGAACTTACGTATTATGGAAAAATTGCTGGGCTATTTAATGAATTATCTCGCACACGACGTTGGGAACTGCGTTTACTACGTAGTGAACCCCATAGCTGTCAAATATAGATATTTATGCACTTCAGCTTTTTGTAGTCCTCTTTGACAAGCAGTAGTAATTCTGAAACCTGAGTGCTGCATATGTCTGCCAGCAGTGTACGAAACTTTCAAAAAGGAATACTTCTTAAAATTTGAAATAAATTTTTTCGTCGCAGATGGTTACTAATAAAAACAAGCGGAACTAAAAAACAGTTAATAATCAATTATGATAGGGACGACGAACAAGTGGAAGTACTTTAGTAATCGTAGTGTAGTGGTTACTGGTTTGTACGACAGTAGGTGCAATTGTTGCAGTAAACAAAATCAATACAGCGATGACACTTTGCGATCTTTACTAAGTGCAAACTTTTAAAAATATCTTTTTTTTATATCTGCAAGTTAATCAGTCTTGTTAGGTAAAATCACATGAGCGGTAATTCCATTGTTATGTTAGCATTTTTTCGCGATTCAAAACCGGGTTGTGATTCACAGGAGCGCTGGGACAGAAAATCAAAGCCTCCGGTTCCGCGGTGAGTTTCCCGTCGCTGCGCGCATTATATACCAGCGAGCAGCCGCATCCCGAGGAGAGCGTCGATGCACTGCGCTCGAACATCCGCAAACTGAAGGAGCGGCTGGAGGAGGAACGCGACGGCAAGCTGTGCGTGGTGTGCCATGATAATCTGCGCAACATCGTCAGCATCCCGTGTCGGCATTTTGCACTGTGCGAAGACTGCATCAACATGCTGCCCACCAATATTTTTCACAACAAACTCTGCCCTGTCTGCCGGAAGCAGATTCAAGAGCTCATTAAGATTTTCGTGTAAATCGGATTGGTATCGCCGTATGATTAATCAAACTTGGGTATGATCTCGTGCTTCTTTGCTTTCGTTGGTTCACTTGGTTGTTGCAGTGTGTTTGACAGGTATTTTCGTTTTTTTTGCTCCTTATTGATCATGGGTTGATTTTTACCGTGTTAAGTTGTTTTGTGGTTGTGGATGCTTGTACTTCCGATCGTTCAGCTTCCGTTATCGAACAGTATTCTGACTACTATTCTCCATTTGATCCACTTCATTGTACAGTAAATAGAATTTTGTCCTGTTCAGATAAAAAAGAGCTACACAATCAGGTTGAATGTGGATCTCTAAAAGCAAGTGGGATGCGTAAAATCAACGGTCCTTAAATGCATTAAATAAAATACACTATGTTTAATATGTGCTTGTACAGCGGAAAATATATCGTACTTGATAAATTATTATAGCGTTGTCTCCTGTCTGGATGTACAGTAATGTCGGCAAAAAAACCTCAAGGAGCCGAAAAAAAGATAAATCCATTAAAGCGTTCGGCGAAATTAAGCCGATTTAAAGTATAAGTACTGCCAAGAACTTACTATAGGTAGAGGACTGGGAAGCGACTCTGCAACGGTCGACTACGTCATCACTGTCGCATACAGAATGCACTGGTGTGCTATTGCTTACCATAGGCCCACAGATTTTATTGTCCCTTTTTAAAGATATTCTCAGTTCCTTTCTCCTCTAAAGCTTTCTGATATTTTAACAGATCCTATTGAATTTAGAAACCCCAAGATGAGGGGCTAGAAATAGAAGAGAAAAGAAATATGCTGAGAAAACTGACAAAAACCGTAAGAAACGCGCATCTGTCACCATGGCAGCCGCCCTCCCGTGTATGCGAGAGTGATGACGTCAAACGGTAGGTTACCAGTCCTCCTCACACTATAGTAAGTACTTGGTACTGCTCGTGCTAAGTTCCGAATCTTACATACTGAAGTATGCAATATATTATTCGCAGCCGACAAAATTATGGCGTAGGATCTGCCCTTCACAAAAAACTTTGCATTACAAATTTCCAGCCACCAGCCAGGGTACCCATCAGCCGGTGAGTAATAATACCGGTATTAAATATGCAGTTATGTATTTGAAGTTATAATCCTGTTATCACATGCACCGCGCTTCCAATCGTGTGCACGGTTTCAACTGCGTAACGGCACTGCCATACTTGCCGTTTTGAATTTTCCGTAAACGATAGCTGATAAGGAGCCATGCATAATAAGGTTTTGGTGCAGGTATCACGTTATTATTTATCAGGGTTTAATAACTGTACTGTTCATGTTGATTTGGAGGCTTGGAGCTTTCTTTGTTATTGCAATTGTTCCTTAACGTGGTGGTTTTGGGATTTGTAACGGGTTTTTATTTTTTCACAAATCGACTTTTCGATCACTGAGTCCACGAATAAACTTTCTTCTTCAGGCTTTCTTCCACCCGGGCGCCTAGAATTTAGACTGCCCTGAAAGTACAGAGTGCAGTAATAACAATGACATTCTCTATGGTATGTTTGCGTGATATACGATGCAGTAAATTTGCACACTCAAGTCGTGAACATTACTACAGTTTACACGTATCCCTTCGATGACTACGGACTGGAGATTCCCCCGAAGTACAAATGGCAATACGCCTTATTGATCTAATTGGGATTTCTGTTTTCTTAATCGCCATAACGTCAGTTGTCGCTGCCGGATACACGCTGTTCGGTAACGCGTTGGAAGCTATCGGTTTTGTGGTGTCTGGCTTTGTGGGCACCGTCTTCGGCGTGATTTCAGTTCCCTTCGTTGCCATAAAGTCAGTTGTCGCTGTCCAATGGGCGCTGTTTGATGCCATCCGGTTTGTGGCGAACATTGTCCTGGACGTTGTTTGCGTTCCCCTTATCGCCATAAAGTCAAACGTTGTCGCTGCCGAAAATGCGCTGTTTGATGCCATCCATAGTTTTGAGATGGGTGTCTATTTCGAGGTGGTCCAAGTGTGGCTTGTCCGCCTCCTCATCTCCTTATTCTGCATGGCTTTCGTGGCGTACATCGCACGCCTGGTGTGGACCAACCGGTGGGGTCTGACCGGCTTCGTGCGGAACGGGGTATATGCCAGCTTCAGGAAAATCAAAACAGACTCAAAACAGACGCATTATAATAGCGCCATTACAGCATCCGCCGTGCCATCACTGAATTCATCCAGAACGGAAAGGCGGGATCCGGACGAACGCCACGCCAAAGCGTGTGTCATTTGTCAGGATAATGTGCGCAACATGGTCTGCATTCCGTGTCGGCATTTCGCACTGTGTGAAGACTGCGCCCATCGTCTGTCCACCGGAAACTTCGCACACGGCAAATCATGCCCTATGTGCCGAGTGCCGATTCGGGAACTGATGAAAGTTTACATCTAACGGTCTAATACCATTATCGTACAAATTGTCTGCAGTATATGATTTTATGGTGTTGCACAGCCTCAGTAATTTCAGGAGATAAACGCATCATTGGACAGTATTGCGTCGATTTTTTGTATTCTCCTGCCGCACAGTTTTTTTCCGCCCAAGAGTCTGCTTAATTAATTCCGTGCTTTCGTATTCTTAATGTGATTCTGTAAATAATACTGCATGTTCGACCGGAGCGTAGCGGAGGTCCTCAATATCAAGACTAATGCATTTATTGATTTCTGTCGTTACAGAAACCCGTTACGGAAGTGCGTTACGGAGTAACGGAAGTAACACTATAAAATCACGCTGCTGACCACTATGAGGTCACCTCAGCTGGTGTGTATGAAGTCATTGCTGACTTCCGTAGCGGCCTTATACAGATCTGTACAGTGGTGCCGTATACCTTGATTTCTGTCGGTTACGTAGATAGCGCAAGACATTTCGACGTACAAATACTAGTACATCCCATGAAACAGCGTAATGCACATGAGTGACCGGCAAAAATGGCTTCGGGCAAAAATATTCTCATGGAAAATTATTCTGTATCCCATTCCCTCCACCCTAGCCGAGATGCCGGGATGGTACTGCATTTTTGCAAACTTAGCCACCGGTTTCGCAGCCCAAAGGTAATGCCCACCTTTTGCTTGGAGACTGCGTTTAATATCGTTCAGACGGTTCCGTTGATGATTAAAAGCACGAATTTTTAAGTTTACATTAAACGCACGATCGCAACTGCCGTCCCGGGCTCAAAGAAACCCGTTCATAATTTCGCTGAAAAACAATAACCTTTTCGTTACAATGGCGACAATACCGCGATACATTAAGGGGTGCTTAACAGCTGCTCAGTTTAAGTCACCTTTCAGAATTGTAAGCGTTAAATAAAGGCGTCACAAAACTAAATAGCCTAGGAAATGGTCAAAATTCAGGTCGACAGTAAGAGTGCTCAACATGGAGGTCGTGGTTTATTTGGGTCGTATTTTTGCCAGTCACGCACGCCAGAGTATCTCTTTTTGAATTGCCATCTGCCATGATCAGTCCCGGTCTGCAATAAAATCTTGCACCTTCACCGATACCTTAACAATTTTTTGCCATAAAACAGCGTTTTAAACATAAACACAGACCGTAAACACAAACAACCATATATTCCAGCAGCGAGTACTTCTATTTTAAAATTTAGTGAACTTAGGTCATTTCTCAGTTCTGCCCTGCCTGCACACGTACTTCCCATTATACGAGTATTAATAAAATATTAAGAACATGCGGCAAAATTAATAAAATATCTAGATGTGGACGAGATCACAAACGTTACTTTCCGGGCATGTATCTTGCGGTATCCACCCGGTTGTATATGCCAATTATGTACCTAATTTCATAATATATCTTACAATCTTGCAGCCCTATTTTTGTTACACTACGGTATACCACTGCATTCGTACAGTACTTGGTGCCCTTTATGTATCCGACATGTACACTTTGCTGACTTTGCTGAAGTTGCGCAATTTCTGCGAAATCCTTTTGCAAAAGGTCATGCATTTATCGCACACTTTATTAAGTAGCACAAAACAATGCCCATCACTATTTTCCTGCGAAAAGCGCAGCGCTGAAGACGACTTTCAGCTGGTTAAGAGGAGCTTTCTCGGGACGCCAAGATCATGGGTATAATATTAATATTGTTTCTACACTAACACTGACATCGCCAAAGTTGAGGGCAATACTCGTATTTTCTATTTATTTATGTTTATTTTCAAATTTTATTATCTTCACAGTGATCACTTCCCGCTGGTGATCCAGCTGCACCCAGCGCTCCACCCGCGCCGACGCCTGCAGCTACACGTCGGGAATGACCGGCGTGCTGGTGTGGTACCCGCTGAAGGGCTGCGGCCCTGCACGGATATCCCATTCCCCGCCCCGGCGGCCATTAGAACGCTCAGCGCGCCACCGGGCTGCCGTCCGTTGGGGATGACGCCGGTCTTGCTGTTTCTAATGTCGCGCGGGGGCGGCTCCGACACGTGCTCCCCGCCGACACGACACTATCTGCACGCCCCGGGAGCGGGTGCGCCGGGCCTCGGCGGCGGAGTGCCGGGCCGGGGCCGCGCAGGAGAGCGGGCGGCGATGTCGGGGTGGCGCGTGTTGACGTATACGTTAACACGCGCCACCCCGACTTCTACGACATCGCCGCCCGCTCTCCTGCGCGACGTAGGCCAGCTCGGTGCCCACCAGCTGTCAAGGAGGCGAGGTTTCCCGGTTCTACCGCACATGGACGGCTGTTTGCTTTAAAGTTTCCTTGGCCGATAGCGTTAGCGATTGCACCTGCATTTTTGTTACTGTGAATCTGTGATCGTGTAATTCTCTCTTAAATAATATGTAAATTCGTTCACATTTGCTCATTCAAAAAACTTATTTTTTAATAGGTAAAATCTTAGAATTATGACTGCATAAAAAAATTAAGTCGAAATTCCTAATAAAAGCGATAATCTGTAAATATGCATTATGCGGGCGCCGCCTCGGTAGGGCAGTCAGCTGCAACGCGAATTAGTTTCCAGTTTTTGACAAAATTAATCGTGATCAGTCTTTGATTTTTCTTTTGATTTTTGATCTTTTCATTTGTAAATCTGTACTACCATCACCAGCCGTTTCCCCGGTTTTTATAACAGTACGGGAATTTTCTGTAGTACTCATCCGTTCTTGTAGTACGACAGAAACTTTCATGGTTACACGAATTTATCGGTTAAGCCTGACGCTGCAACCTTTTGGTGTCGTGTCGCAGCGCCACCCGCCCGGCGATGGAGACGCAAACCCCCGTGATCACCTCCATCAGCCTTCCCCCGCCTCCCTCTCCGCCTGCGACGCCGGTTCGGGTCAGCGGGTGACCGGGCCACCTCTGGAGACCCTATGGGAGGTGTCCCCACCAGCGCTGGGGGTTGGGCCTCCTGGAATCCTCCCAGGACCCCGCGCGCCAACTGTACCTTGGGTCCTCGATGAATCCATCGCCATCTTGTCCGACTCCATCCTTAAGTCCACCATTATCTGGTGCTGCCCTGGAGCCCATCGACACCGTCCCGGATTTGATGCGGGAGCATGTGCCGTTGTTGCGGCATGTGATCCAGCGGGCGCAGTGCTTTGCGGATGAGCAGATTGGACCGAAAACGCACTATCCGCTGGTGGGGGGTTAAATACGATTCCGACGCTCATGATGCTCATCCGACTGCATATGCACGTTATTAGTTATTACCGTGGATTTTCAGGGGCCAGGTTAGTCCGCTTCTTGTCGAACTGAATATTAATTTTTAGGGAATCGCTGGCCTAATTAATTCTGTCATTTTTCTTCTGATTTCTTAAATTTAAATATTTAGATTTAATTTTTGTAGTAATTTTCGTTGATTTATTTAATTAATTTTGATTTTCTTTGCTTTGCCTTTGATTTTTCTAATTTTTCGTTGATTTGTATGATTTTGCTCCGGAATAATTTTCTGTTTGTAGTTTTTGCCAGATTAAAAATTAAAAATTATTAGAAATCGTTTTTGCCAGTTGCCTCAATTAAAATTGAAAATTATTATTTATTTCACTCGTAATTTTTTTCCGCATAGTTATATTTTCTGTATTTTTTTTCTAGGCCGCAGCGCGCTGTTCATGGAGCCGGAACGGGCAGCACTATCAGCACTTTAGAGGCGGAAGGGCAGATCGTGGTTGACAAGGAGCAGCCCAAACTGGTGAAGGCGGATTTCACCGAGCCGCTTTGTGCGTCTTCTGTCGGCAGCCTTTTCCGGCTAACGAGATGGCCGAACTGAAGAAACATCTCGCCGCCCGCGAGGCCGACCTGCACGCCGCGAAGACTGAGGATGAGGATGTCGGTTATGTCTGCCAATTCCAGGTCAATTAAATTCAATTACAATTCTTAGCCGAATCATGAATTTTGTGATGGATACAGTGAGCGCCGATATTGGGACAGTTAATTTAAATTGATTACTTAGTTATTGTCAATTAATTCTTTTTAAACTAGTTGTTGTGACAGTTTATTTTTATTTGCTATGGATTAAATTAGTGGTGTTATTGTATGAAACGGTTGGAATTGTCGAGGAATTCTTGGAAATTCGTTACGAAAAATTTTCGATAAAATGGTGGTTTCTTGTTTTATTGCAATGCGTATCAGGCAGTTAGAATTAAAAGGACGCAATCTTCCCGGCGTTCACTGGCGGACTGCAACTTGACTTGGATGACCAACATGTATCTGTATTGTACATATATTATGGACCTAAAACAGAAAATAGCAACATAACAATATAGCAAAATATAAATCAAATTAATTGGTGTAGAATAAGTGAAGTTGTGTGAAGGATGGAAACAAACAATAAACTCACCTTAAAAAATTTTGCAGAATAAACAAAATAAATGTCGAATAAATCATAATAATAACTGATGAATAAAAAAATTGACTGAATAAAATCACCAAAAAACGATCCATGTAATATAAATTTTAAAATAAGTACAGAATAAAAAAATATTCATACTACTCGTAGTCGCCTGCATAGCGCGGCTGAGTCGTCAGACGTGCAAGCACTGTCAGGACGTGCAAGCACTCTCAGCACGTGCCGTGCTGCACTTCTGACGGCTCTACGAGAAGTTACCATAGAGGCTATGCAGCACGTAACGTGCTGCATTTCTCCTAATATCAGCCGCTACCATACTACCACTCCGCGGGACGGTACCACGGCTCTGCCGTGGCACCGTAACAAGCGTGCCTATATACAGCCGGGCTTATTAGCGCCAGCACTGGTAGCGGCTGATATATGCACACTTGTACGGTACCACGGCTCTGCCGTGGCACCGTAACAAGCGTGCCTATATACAGCCGGGCTTATTAGCGCCAGCACTGGTAGCGGCTGATATATGCACACTTGTACGGTACCACGGCTCTGCCGTGGCACCGTAACAAGCGTGCCTATACAGCCGGGCTTATTAGCGCCAGCACTGGTGGCGGCTGATGTATGCCTTGTACGGTACCACGGCTCTGCCGTGGCACCGTAACAACCTATATACAGAGGGTGATTTCATGATATGCTTCAGCACGGACACAAATTGTAGTAATTCTCTCCCTTGTTCTTTCCTTCACTTCTTGTCGCTTAAAAATACTTCAATATGTGCTTTATACTTCATCATTAGTTGAATTCTATAAACGAAGTGAGTGTCA